CCTTTTTGTGGTCCCTCGTCTTCTTCATTCCCCTCAAGAAAGATGTCTTCGAGGCAAAATTGCATCCATCGCGATTCTCATCAATCAACAAATGCCACACCACAAATTACAACATTTATTGAGGAATCTGAAGAAAGATATTGGTAGACAAGAACCCCTTTTATCATAAAAAGCTAGCAATGGATCACAGTGATTTTGATTTTGGAGATCAAAACAACATCTTTTAGTCTAAGTTTGATTTTGGATCTTGAAGATCCCAATTCACATTTGGCTTTATATCTAGAGGCCCGATTTCATAGTTACACACTTAAAATTGAAAGTTGAAAATTGAAATGAAATTCTTTAGTTACACTAATTTCAGGCATATTAGCGTAAATTTCTCAAAAATAAAAAATTCTTAATAAAAAAAATATGTAAACGATCGAGGCCCAAACATTTAATTAATGATGATGATATACCCGGACGATGATAAAGGCAAGACGGCTAACTTAATGAGATGCTATGTCTTTTTGTCCAAATATTAAAACATTAATTGATAAATTTTACCAAAATTGGTAAAATCCTTTTTATCTCATACATGCTGAATTTGTTATTCTCTCCAAAAAGAGTTTGCGCCATAGCTGACAACACCAGTGAAATAAGAAGCTAGTAATGGATCACAGTGACATTATACTCCACAGTCAATGAGCCGGTGGCCAACAAAATAGTCCGGAGTTGTGCATAGCCCTGAGCCAGTCTGAAAGCTCCATTTCCACCCACCACAGACATCTCCCTCACATCCTGCAGTATCGGGTTCCTTCCGACCACCGTGAGCGTGCTTCCATTGAATTCGCCATCCGTGAACACAAAGTTGAGGGCCATGGTGACGCTTAACTCTGTCTGAGAAGAAACTACTTCAATTCCCTGTACCGTGCCGATCAGCTTCGAAGTGAGGTTGGGGCCTTCTGTTAGTAGGTCGTCATGCACGTAGATGCTACCGAAGCTAGTGGGTGAGGCCTGGGTGCTATTCAATTCGGCCACGAGTACGGATGTGGGGTTTGGTCCGGTGAGCACTCCTTGGAAGTAGAAGTGGAGGTGGCTCACCTTGGGTTGGCCCATGCCTACGGTCTCTCTCCAGTCATCTGCCATGGAGGTCGCTATGGCCAAGAAGAAAAGTAGCAACGCCACTGTAGGTGCTCCTTTCATCTTAGATAGATCTTGAATTGAGTTACAGAGAGGTGAGGCGTGCTCTTTATACTCCATGTCTTTACGTAATCCCCAATTTCTATAGGGTTGGTCTAAATAGAGCCCGGGACTTGGCATAAATAAAATAGGGGGCACAAATGGTTGTCCACAAGACTTGTAAGATGGTTGACTAAAATAACAGCCCATTTATGGTACTCTAAAATGGGATCGCATACAAAGGAACTATTTACTTTTGATAAGTTACATATACTTACAACCAACCAAATCATGTGAGAATCTGATAGCTGGAGTGTTCCTCAAAGTGTGAGTAAATTACCTTTGAAGTATCGGCTTAATCAATGAAAAAAAGTATAGCCATTTAATTTTACATCCAATGGTCAAAGTTAATTGTGACTACCCGATACTAAAGATATATGATTTCATTGAATAATTTTTTATCTAAAATTATTTCCATTGGATTTTTCGTTTTTATATGAATATTTTCATATCATCTTTGATCTATCTTATGAACAACTTTGAAAGAAATAGTTTTATATCAAGCCCTATATTTGATGGGAAAAGTTTATACAAGGTTGCAACTTTAAAATGTAGAACTACAGATGAACATCAAAAATCCATTGGAAAAGGTTGTTTTACTATTGAAAAACTCTCTAACTGATCATCTCGATGTTCAAATGTATGACTATGAAAAAAGAAAGGATTTTGAGTCTCAGAAATGATGCATCTTACAACACATTATCTAGACCGTCCATTTTCAAGATTTTCATATGTTTATAGATGTACTTGATTTTAATCATTTTTGGGACTTAAAATTTTATAATTAGATACGAAAATAGAATATGAGATAAGACTATTTTTACATCCAAATTATATGCTATGATAAAATTTGGAGGTGCGCTTTAAATGGATTGTTTAAGGTTGCAACCTTATAGAAACCACCCCCATAATTAACTGTTGCTCAAATAGATGATCAAGAGTTATGAGGGGAAATTCATATGGTACATTTTTTTTAGCACCATAAACAGTTTCGATTTTTTTTTTTTTAAGTTGATCTAAAGAATGAATCAAAGTAATCATAAGTTATTTCTACCAAAAGAATATCATATGTTTTTGGAAAATTGATCACGGGTTCATGGTGATACGTTGGTCTTGAAGGGCCACTAAATATTTCTCTTATAAATTAATTGGAAATTTATCCGAATACCCCGTTGATACGAAATATTTAATATTTTGCCCATTTGCAACTATTCTAACTCAACACGATGTGGTTTTCTATGAGTATTTTGAACTTAAATCAATAAATATAGGTAGAGTGTTGAAATATTCATTTTTCTAAATTAATAGAATGCGTGCGATCATCGTGCTTGGAACTTTCAATGTCTTCAACGCAAAGAAGTCATTAGAGTAGCATGTGATCGTTTTGGTGATCTTGAAAATTTCTTTCTTTGACAATTAATTATTATGGAAAAGTATAGTATGATCCAAGATAATATTTGATCATATTATAGGTTACCCTAAAGTAATTTATATACTTTTTTTTTTGGTTTGAGTGTTAATTTTTTTTAATATATGTCATTGACATTCTTCCAATTGTCCAGGTTCTTCTTATTTTAAGCTCTTGATTTTTTATATGTTTTAACCGTCTCTTATGGAGAGGGCCAAGTGGCGGGTCGACACATGCCGTAGATAGTTGGAAGTAGCATATAATGTGGAAGGGACACATGTATTGACACATGTAGGTCAAAAGAAACAGCAATATGGATTATGTATAGGGAAAAGTATATTTAGAGCGAGGCATTAAATAACTAAATTTAATCTTATCATAAAAATTTCACTAAAATAGGTTGTTTTGACGTCCAAATATCTTTAAATTGATCATCTGGACATCAAGATGCATAGATATAAGAAAAAAATGCATTGAAAGTTATGAAAATAGTGTATTTTGTAATACATTTTTGGACCGTCAAATTTTAAGTTTTCATAGATATATCGATATGCATTATTTTTTAAGCTTTAAACTTTATAAATAAGTATAAAAATATATTTTAAGGCTATCACAAAGATTTCCAATATTAAATCCACATTTCTTGACACAATTTGAAGGTAGGCTCTAATTTGATTGTTTAGAGCCTATGCTCCATACAAATTGCACCCTTACATATGGGAAAAGTTTATATAGAGGGGAGGCTCTAAACAATCAAATTGAAGCATATCACAAAAAATTCACTATAAGAGGTTGTTTTTATGCCCAAATATCCTCAAATTGATCATCTCGACATCAAGATGTATGGATATGAGAAAAAAAATAGATTTCAAGTTTTGGAAATAGTTTATTTTGTAACAAATTTTTGAACCGTCAATTTTCAAGATTTTTAAGTTTTCATAGATATGTCGATCTACACTATTTTTTAAGCTTAAAACTTTATAAATAAAGCTGAAAATATATTTTAAGGCTATCATAAAGATTTTCAATATGGAAACCATATGTCTCAACGCTATTTGAAGGTAGGCTCTAATTTGATTGTTTAGAGCCCAGGCTCTATACAAACCACACCCTATATATAAGAAAAATGAGGAAAATGATTTATGTAATTAAATGGATGATTTGGTTATGGTTTTCAGCCACTAAGGAAGGGAAGGGGGGGGGGGGCAAATCTCAGCATTCTCATTATGCTTAGAGATAGGAGTTGTCGTCCCAAATCATTTTGGTCACCACCGTTGGCAGGTACATTGAAGCCTAACTTTGATGGTAGTTCCCTAGGTAATCCAGTTATTGCAGGTATTGGTGGGGTGCTCAGAAATGGATGAGGTAATGTTATTTTTTCTTTTGCTGGTCCCATTGGTTGTGCTACTGCTAATAAGGCTGAACTAAGTGCGGTGTATCATGTGTTGAAAATTTTCAAGGAGATGAATTCTGGGGATTCTGTTTGGATTGAAGGTGACTCCTTGATCGAAGGCGACTCCTTGAATGTAATAAAGGGAGCAGTGGATGCCTTGGGATTTACATTCACTTTGGCTTAGGGTTATGGATATCTCTCTCTCTATCACAGTTTCTTTTTATCATGTTTACCCGTGAAGCTAATTCTTTAGCTGATGTATTGGCAAATGGGGCGGAGGGGGGAGGGGGGGCAGCTTCTCTCTTTGGTTATTTTTGATTCTATAATTGGTTTCTAGAGATTAATAACAGATCGAACATTTGTCAAAAAAAAAAAAATTTATTTGATAGGGCTGTAGCCCTATCAAAATAAGTAATCCTCACCTCTTAACTTATTGAAAATTGCAATTGAAGCATTAAAAAACCTTTACATATTGTATCTTGGCTTGAAAATTGCAATTGAATTATTAAAAAATCTTTATATGTCCTATCTTGGCTTGAACATCCGGGTGGTGAAAAAAAATAGTAGTTTAAGCTCTAAAAACAGTGTATATTGTAAAAAATTATCTAGATCGTCTATTTTGTTATAAAAATAAGTGTTCAAATATCCGAAAGATTTGTATCATTTGCGAGTTTCAAATTTCATTGTCGGTGATGGAAATTGATTTTAAAGCGATAGACAGTTCTGTTGCCAAAAGTGCTTTCTAGACGAAGATTTGAGATGAGGCTTTCTTTTGTTTTCATAAAGCCTAGGCGTTGTAGCAACCTCATAGAAATAAGAGATGCACTTTCCATAACGCCTATGATTTATTGGAAAAAAAGAGAAAACAATAGAGCCTCACTTTGAAGGAAACTCGTTTGATAGGGCTTTCACCCTATTCAAATAAGTGAAGCCTCACCTCATAACTCATTGAAAATTGCAATTTAAGCATTGTAAAACCTATATATCATTCATCGCAGCTTGACCATTATGATTGTAAAAAAAAAAAAGGATTTCAAGCTTTAAAAATAGTATATATTGTAACAAATGATCTAAACCGTCCATTTAAAATAAGTGTTCATAGATTCGCAAGATTTGTACCAATTTTTAAGTTTCAAATTTTTTAGTTGCAGAGAGACAATCCCCACTGACAGTTTTATTAGGTTGACCTTAATGAGGACTTTGCATGAATAAAATAAGGCCACGCATATGGTGGTCCCAGGAGACCTTGTAAAATGCTGAAATAAAAATAAGGAAAAAGTTTGTAGTCCCAGGAGACCTTGTAAAATGATCAAATAAAAATAAGGAAAAATTTTATAGTCCCAAGAGACCTTGTTAACTGCTCAAATAAAATAAGGAAAAAGTTTATATAAAGCCGAGGCTCCAAACAATCAAATTAGAGCCCCCCTCAAAACTTTCACTAGAAAAGGTTGTTTTGATGCCCAAATATCATCAAATTGATCATCTCGGCATCAAGATGCATGGAAATCAGAAAAAAACGGATTTCAAATTGTGGAAATAGTGCATATTGTAACGCATTTTTGGATCGTCAATTTTCAAGATTTTCAAGTTTTTATAGATCTGTTCAATGTACACTATTTTTGAAGCTTTAAATTTTATAATTAAATATAAAAATACATTTTAAGGCCATCACAAAGATTTTTAGTATTGAAACTACAGTTCTCGACCCTATTTGTAGGTGCGCTCTACTTTGATTGTTGAGAGCCTCAGCCCATATATGGTGCTCCACCAAGTAACAGCCATCGGTTGGGATAATTTTCAAGATTTCATATCATCTCTTATATACCATGAACAACTTTGAAAGAAAGTTTTGAGTCTGTAAAACCATAGACTTGATTGTTGCCCTAGTAGACAATCTAGATTTATCATCGAGGGGAAATTGATACGGTACATTCTTTTGAGCTCCATTCCCCCATGGCCATTTTTCCATGTAAGGTACACAATAATCACCATTAGAGCCTTTTCCTAACTGTATGAAATCAGCTATACGAATTCAGATATGCTATTTTGTTCTATGAAGGGCTATATCCTCAGTGTGACCATAAATCCCCATATCTTTTTTTACTATTTCTAACGTTATCTTTTTAGTTATGCCCCTTATCCTTTTTTAGCCTTCTACTTGAAACAACACTCACCTCTTTATAATTGTTATACTTCTACTTGAAACAACTTTCACCTCCTTATAATTATTATACTAGGTCTGTGTTGCACATAACCAGCCCACCTAAGTCTACTATCTCTCATTTTATCGTCTATTGAAGCCACACCAAAGTCTAATTTCTCTCATCTTAACGCCTATTGAAGTTATACCTAAGTTCTCCCGAATATATTCATTTCGAATTTTGTCCCTTCTTGTCT